GATGTACCCCAGGGCAGCCATACTAAAACCCACCGCTCCCTATAAATCCAAAACCTGTTCATTTCTTATTTTTGCTTCAAAAATAAAGCCTTTACTGATTATATTAAACCATGGCTGAATTTGAGTGGGAAAGAAGTCCAAAATAAAGTGTTTTAATGATATCTTTAGTCCAACCGTAGTCTTCCCTTTTTACTCACCTCCTCCATAATAGCCAGATATCAATCACTAAATCTACATTAATCTAGGCATAACCCGATAAATCCAAAGTCTTAAGTCCAATCCTAGTCTTCATTCTGTTCCCTACACCCTGGCTGAAATCATCAATCATCATAGCCATAAACTATCCCAAAAAGTCTTCCTAAAGTACTTTAGCCTTCATCATTTTCTACCCTATTCAGTATGGATTCTGGAAAATGCTAGAAAAAATAAATGTTTGGTTCGCCATGGAGGCCGTCCGTCCAATTCCTATTCAGTACAATGTGCAATGCAAAACCATTCACTGTCGTTTTCCGAGCATCACAAAGTTCATGTTACAAATATTTTTCAAGTAAGTGCCGTCCCAAAATGTCATCATTTGGGTCCCCGTGTACTTAGGGATGTCCCAATAGCCAAAGCCCCCAGTACAATTTGAAAAGAGCTTCAATCCCCGTGAAGTAAATGGTTTTATTTTGATAAGACCTCATAGAATCCAACACTCAGTATAACTGGTTGAAAAACTATAACTATTCACGGAAGTGATGATCCAATCGAGCAAAGAATTAACAGTACCTTCCCCTAGTCCCGATTCTGACGACAGAAACCTTCGTCTTCTGGGCCTGCTGTTCTACCGCGACCGATGAAGCCCTTAAGACCAAGCTCCTCGTGCCTCTAAGGAACTGGTCCGGCGGGGTTGAAGATTTGAAGGCCTGCGAAAAACAGGCGAAAGATGAGGGCTTTACATCTGCTGGGAATGCTAGTACTGCTGGATTGAGCGGAATTGCCATTTTCTCCTATGCTGCTGGAAAGAAGAGTGGTCATAATCAATTTGTAATCAAAATTCAAAAAGTATAAAATTAAAAGCAGCTACACATTCACAATCCATACTAGTAATCACTAATCAGAATTCATTAACTCATATATAAACCATAAGAATATACGATTCATACATTTATACTTCAATTCAGAGTTCATCCTCCATTACTCCGTAATAACTACACATGATTTTTTTTGTAAAATAACCAAAACTATTTACCTGTTGGGCTGCGGCTTGACCTGGACCGGCTGGACGGCGGTGAGTCGGCGACGGCGAGACTCGCGAGGCTGCGAGGGTTTACGAATTACGAGCAGAGCAGAGAGGCCGGAGACTCATGCTGTCCGTTATCCCATCAGTTGTGGGGGCGAGCGGGCGTATGGCCACCGGCTTATCTTCGAGGATTCTTTTGGACTTTTAGTCAAATTGTCACTCCCATTCACCAATTTATACATAGGGAGACATTACCGAAAAGAAAAATGGCAGGGGTCTCCCACCCCTCTATTACCACAAAAATGGGCAAAAAATTAAAAAAAATTAAATAAAGTAAAAATAAGTGGTGGAGAAAGTGATGAGGGACAATTGGGGTACACCTTCCAAAGGTGTACCCCTAGCATTGCTCACAAATTGATGGTTTCTACTCCTTCTAACCCGCCTCTTGAACACCTCATCCTAGCTCCACCCAAACCCCACCATAAGCCCCCTCTAAATATATAGCTATTATGCACAACAGCCACACATTTGGAAGGGTTTAAGGCGGGCTGGGGTGGGGTGGGGTAGGGGTGTGCATAATTTGGTAAACCGACCGAACCGAACCGAAACCGAAAAATTTGGTACGTACCGAAACCGAACCGAATAATTCGATTCGGTATTCGGTTCTCATATTTTGAAAAAATCGGTTTTCGGTTTGGTATAAAATTTGGAACCGGTATTTCGGTAAAAACCGAATACTGAAATTATTTAATACTTGTGTATAATTTTATCCATTGCTACTCAATTCAATTCCCAATATCTATCCCAATATTGAAATAATGAATATCCACCCCACTAATTTCAAGTCCTATTATCTAAATTTGGAGTTATTTAAGATTGGAAATCATGAAAGCATCAAATTAATAATACTGGTAAATGTTTTTATATTTCGAAATGGACAATTTAGCTATTTGTATCAACTATTTTGTTTAATTTATGTAATGGTTCTAATTGTGTTGCTTTATTTTAATTTTGGAGTGTGTAATGGACTTATATATAATGGATTATGCTTTGTTATTTTCAATTTGGAGAATGAAATGAATTTAAAGTTCAAATTTTGGTTTATGTTCGGTTTTTGGTAAACCGATTACCAAACCGATTTAATTTGGTTTTTACCGAACCGAACCATTTGATTTCGGTTCGGTATTTGGTACAAAAAATAAATTACCGAAATTTCGGTTTACCAAAATTTCGGTTCGGTTCGGTTTTACCGAATGAACACCCCTAGGGTAGGGTGAGGGTTTATGGGGTGGGTTTTGGGAGTATGAACCATCAGTTTTCCGATGCTCCAAAAATGCACTGGCATCGCAAGTATCACCGTTGTTGAGTGTTAACGGAACCCTACTCTACAAAAATACATTTCTCTTTTTGTTTCTAGAAAAAATTTTATAGCTCATAATCTCTCTCTTCTTTGCATCGCTTCAACTACTTAATTTTATTTTTTTATACTTCGTCCCAAATCTTATAATGAGTCTTTTTTAGATAAATAGATTATGGTTTTAAATAAATACTTTAGTGTAAATGATTTAAAATTTTGATATACTAAAACTACATTTTAAACTAAATTCAATTTTGATTAAATTTATATTAAAATTAAATGAGTTTTTTATAATTTATGATCAAAGTTTGTAAGTTTTAACAAAACAAAGTCAAATTGTAAAAACTCAAATTGAGACAAAAGTATGTCACGGAGTATATGAATAGTAATAACATAATTTTTAAATACTTCCTCAAGATCAAAGGCTATATTAACTTCACAAAATTTTAATAATTATAGAAAAATAAAAAGTTAGCGATTAAATTTGTTTCAATTACAGAGTGAGTATGGGGAACACATACTCTTCAATTTATCAAGTAATTAAGTAAGATAAATCTTTATACACCATAGGCAAACGCGAACATAATGTCTATGACCGAACAATTGTTCTTTTGCCACTGCCTAATTCTCAACAGTTCTAAGGCACAAATTTTCATATTAATTCATCGTTGTATTCCGGTAGTAGTTTCAGGCTTTTAGTTGTGCGTACACCACTGGTACAACATGTTGGTGTACAAGTAACATTTTTGGTGTCTACTTGGGTACCTGGATTATCTTTACCCTTGTCACCATATATCTCTTAATTGGTGTAGATAAAAAATTTAAAAATGGGTAAGAAATGTATGAGTAAGAAAGACGGGTATGCAAGTTGATGTATAACTTGATGTACTTCTAGCATTAGTCATTGAAGGCTAAAGTCATCTTCAATGTATCACGTTTTTTCCATCTTAAAATAAATTATAATGATTGAATTTATGGGTCTTAAGTAAAAATTGAACTTTATTTTAAGAATGAAGAAAGAATAATGTATCGTTTAATTTGTATCTTTATACTTTAAATTTATGATGCTATTTAATTTAGTGTTAATTATAGAGGTATGCTTTTTGCGGATCAAGTACTGAATGTTGTGATCAAAATGTTATCAAAACAATTATACTCCCTACATAGGATGTTAATCTTACAACAAATTTTTTTAATATGTACTCCGGTAAGTTTTTTTTTTGGAAAATAAGACTAAAATAGGAAGTTTCATATTTTTATTCCTGAAATATATTATTAAAACGTATTTACATTGTCAATTATTACCAAGTACATTACCAAAAAGTATTATAAAATATTCATGTACAGTGTCACATTACAACAGTAAAAATATTAAACGCTTGTTTGATACTTTTTCTATATTGTTATTTTTATTTAGAGTGATTTCTTTATATTTTTCTATTTATATACGGAGTACCAATTTATAAATAAGAATAAGTTCTATAAATGATCCCAGATTACAAGTGGTTTCTAAATTTAGTCTCTAATTCTAAGATAATACATAAATAATCTTCAATTTTTAAGACTATTCCATAATCAGTCATGTGAAAAACAATGTCTTGTCATATACTCCCTCCGTCCCAATTTAAATCGTCTGTTTTGACTTTTGGACATATTTAAGGAAAATAAAAAATAGAGTTGATTTTCCAAAATTGACATTACTTTTTAGGAAGGGTGATGATGAATGAGAAGATAAGGTGAAGTGAGACTTATTTTAAGAGTAGTTTAGGTATTTTATTTTTAAAAGTTTACGAAAACAACTAACAAACAACTTATTTTGGGACAAAGAAAAAAAGCAAACAGACAATTTAAAATGGGACGGAAGGAGTATCTTAAAATACTATTCATGAAATTATTTTTAAAAATTGAAGATCATTCATATGATATTTTAGAATTGAGAACTAAATACAAAAAACAAAATATAATTAGGAACCATTTATTAAATTTACTCTACAAATAAAATAATTTCGAAAAAATACAAGGTTTCATCTCACAACTCCAAAATTGATTACAATTTTGATAATCCTAACAAATTTGGGAGGGAGAGAGCATATAATTTTCGCTCAATTAGAAGAACGAAGCACGAAACAAACGTCTTTTTAAGGTCGAGGGGAGTAAGTAATTTGGTGTGTTTCTCACTGACTGAGATGATAGCTTTAGGGTTTCTCTCCATATGATACAGCAGCATTGACGAAATGCTCTTCATTCGAATTAACGAGAAACAATAAAATGTCACCATCAAGGACAAGAACGCTAGTACGATCTTAAGGTCGTTTAGGAGGGGTAATTTTGACAATTCACAATCAACTTCTACACCGAATATGAATGGCAAAAGAACTAATCCAGGACACCACAAAAAAAGAAGTGGATAACTAGGTAAATACAAACGAAAGTATTTCATTAGGTAATGAAGTGTATCATAAACAATGGTTTTTGAGGACTTGGGAGATGTAATTCAGAATCCATACATACCCTCCACATTATGCAGAGTACGCAAGAACCCAAAACTTCCCAAAAGAAAACAAACTTCTAAGAATCAACAGCCACCCCTCCTTCGTAAAGACACTTCAAATCTATTTACAGCAATTACAGATACCATAAATAAGATGCCCGCAAAACGTGTTGTTTAGCGAAACCTTTCCTATGGCTCTTTTGTGCATTTTCTTTCCCAAAATAATATGCAGCCGGCTCCATCCCTAATTTATAAATAGCACTGGATTTGTATGTTCAAGGGAGGGGAGGGAGAAGGAAGGAGACCAGACCGTGGTGTAATCATCGCCGATGTATGTGGCACATTTGACAGGCAGTGGCAGCAGACTTGGGGTTCATGTATGTGCATTGGTCGCACGCCCAGCCACCGGAATCATCTATGGTTTTGCTTGAACCTCTTTTTCCTCGGCCCCCTCCTTTAGCCTTGTTCCCGGCAGCGTTTTTAGAGCATGTCTTGCTACAGCCTTCTCCTTGTGCGTCTACATCAGACAGACCATTTTCCAATGCCCTAACAAGATTCTCGAAGTAATTGCGTGTCACACTGGTTTTCAAATAAAACATACCGCGTCACTGTTAGAAATTAGAAATTGTTTTTTAAACAAACTGTTAGTGAACGAATCATATTTCTCTGCTAAATGCTCAGTGGCTGGATCAGAGCTTACCTAGTCAGGTCAGCAAGCTTTGTGCGGAAATCGTTAAAATCCTTTGAAGGGCCAAGTGAGTTGAGAAAACCATTAAGTTCTTTCTCAGCACATTGATGAAGCCTCTCTAAACCAGCCTCGGCCTCACCTGAACAAGAAACACCAAAATGTAGCACGGGTATCAAATCAAGAGGATGAGCAAGATATGCCTTGCAGTTTGTTCACAGTAGTGAGGACAGAGACGTGTGAAATACCTTGCAAGTACTCAAAGAACTGCCTCTTTGCTTTCTCCGCCTCAGGAAGATAGTATCCATATGCATATGTCCACTTTAGCACTCTTCGGCATTCAACTATCTGCACGAGTATTAGAAGGATTAAGAATCACAAAACACTCTACATTTCAAAGCAAATATTTAAATGGTCACAATATAGGGAAAAAGTACTATAATATCTAAAAGTCATAGAAGAGTTGCACTTTATCTGCAATTCAACTGAAGCACTCATATACGTTGATTCGGTAACTTATGACTTATATGGCTAATTTCAGACTCCTAAACCAAGCAAAATATATGTCAAATGGGCGCAATAACATATTACTCCCTAATAAATGTCAAATGAGTGCATGTTTCTAATGAAGTAGACAATGATTTCTTGAATGGCCCTTCGGATGACACAGCAAAAACAACATTGCAAGGTATAAAAAGCATTCTCTATTCTGGTGATACTTTTATTGGATTATTTTGAGTTTCATTTCTTTTGGGGGGTGTGGGGATTGGCAAAAATGATGATACAAAGCTGACTCCAAGTATAAAGCTGGGAACTGGCAATTGTATTCCTTTACTTGAACCTTCCTAACAGCCAGACAATCAACCACATACGAATTTGCATTCATTGCCACACTTTAAGGTTCAATCACTACTCCAGGTAAATAATTTCAGAAATTTTGGAGAACCTATAATCATTTTGGTATAAAACTCACTTGTTGCCAGGCTTCGATAATGAACTTCAATTGTGTCTCAGGTTCGCATTGTATTTCACTAAGCTTGACAAGCTGCACAGAGAGCAGGAATGTTAGCAAGTTTTTTAAACATCATTACAGAAGATCATAATTAGAATAATGACATTGAAAAGTAAGTCAGTCATGTGATTCTGTTTTTAAACCCATTGTCATTCTGGCACCATTACTTCAGCCACTCGCACACATATATAATAGGAATTTGTACAAAAACTTATACACCAGACAGCCAACGAAGTAAAACATAAATGCATAACTTACATGCACTTCTTGCATTTGAAGCAAATCTGACTGAGCTTTTTGCCTTGACTGTGATTGAAAAAGAATGCATTTTAGAATTCAAACAATAATGTAGAACCAATGTCGAAAGTACATACATCAAGATGCATCTAATCCAAAGATAGGGACACACTTCAAAGTCTTGAGAATGAAAAACAGTATATTAAACTGGGCAGCCTAGGCCTTTCAAGTGCATTTAATTACACCATTTTATTGGTAAACACTATTGCTTGTAGTTTATAGACATATTGGTCATAATTACAATAATAAACTCTGTAATATAAATTATATTTGTGTATCACAATGTATAAAACTAGGGCACAAGAGAGCCAAGGCATCCTAGAAACTAGTCTGGCAATCGATGGCTGCTTAGCAATTACCAAAACCAAGAAATTAAAATATAAGATGAACCTTTGAGTAGGGGTGAGAAAAGTTCTTAATGAGGCAGAATATACAAGATTGCCTAAACAAACTTAGACATACGGACATACCGATTGGTTTGTAGCCCACCGCTCATAATAATGAGTGTATCTTTCCAGAGAGTTTTTGGCCATCTCTCTTCTCCTCTCAGTCTCATCATACTATATAAAAAATTGACATACAACAAAACATGCATGTAAAAACAATCACTCACAAGCTAAATATAAAAAGCAGCACTTAGAAGTTCAATATGAAAATTAACATAAACATAATGCATAAATATGAAACAGCATAGTTATGAAAGGCGGACGTCTTAAACGCCTGAGGCACCCAACGCAGATAGGTGACTCAATCATCTCAGGACACACATTTCCCGGGAGGTGTAGCACCTGGCACTCTTTCTAACTTCTTCTCTGGGCAAGTGGGGAGTTCTACAGCTGCCTGAGAATTAGTGAAAAATGTTTTTGGTTTGTATTCATTTCTTGTCTATGGTTGTTTCTGCTGTTTTTTTCCACTTCTCTGTTTGTTTTGCAGCTGTTCTTTTTTTTTCCTTTTTTTTGTTATCATTGTTTGTTCAATATTAGCTTTCATTGTCTTCTTTGTTTATTTTTTGCAACATGTTCTTGTTTATTCTGTTTTCTGTTCTTTCTTTTTTTTGTTCTTTTGAATTTCAAGTTGCACTATTCAAATGGTATTAGCAACTTATTAATACTAGATTTATTACAAGTTATTCACTAGTAATTGGTTGATCTTTTTTTACATTTATGACATGCCATTGATATTTTTATAATTAACATACTCCATCCATCGGGCAAAAATATCTCCCTTAACTTTCACTGAGTCTAAGAAAAAAGATGAATAGTGAAAAGTGAATGGTTGAAATTGATGCAAAGGAAAGAAATATAATGGGAAATTTATTTGGAAGGAACGAAGAGGGAAAGTGAGACATGCATTACATGATGGGAGCGTAATAGCATATATATATATATATATATAGACACACACACACATATATTACAGGTCTTGTTGGCCTCTCGGGTTCCCATCCCTCACCTTGACAAAGTACCTCTGAGCATTGGCCTTTCATAACTATGATACTAGTTAATCTACGCATACAAATGAAGAATTAAGACAAAGCAAATAATTTTCAAACAGCATAATATTGACTTTACCAGTCCCTCCTGCTTTGCGGCTTCATAACGGTTGCATGCATAAAACCCGCCTGTTCTCTCACCATGATCCGACCATGCACCAAGGCATAACCTACAAGGCAAGAAACCATATTATTAAAGTGTGAGCAAGTAGCAATTATAGCAATTCAGAACTTTATAGAGGCTGTGATATATTTAAGCTTGGGTTTGGAAAGGGAGGGGAGTGGACTGGTCGAGTATATGGAGGAGGATGAAGGGTTGATTTTTAAGATGGTTTAAAGGCATAAGAATAGGGGAGAAAAAGGGGGATACTGGTTGTGCTTTTTAGGAGGGCCGAAAATTTGGAAGGGAAAATAAGAGGGGAAAAGGGATAAAAACCAAGTAGGTTTTAAGAGATATAACACACTCTTATCCTCACTTGGGGTTTGAGTCTAGAATTTAATTAAGATATTACACACTCAATTAAATAACTAGAACCTAACACTCACACTTAAGGAAACCAACCTTAAGATATAGAAATTAGGATTTGAAAACAGAATACAACCAGTGTATTTCTATCTTGAAATGAAGAATAAAAATCTGAGCATTACAATAGGCCTATGGCCGAAATTTAAAGGCACTCATACAAAGGAAAATACTAAGCTATTTCTTCCACAAATCCTAGAAAATGCAGTCATGTGCTTGAGTCCTTTCATGGAATAAAATCAGGGAAAATGGGGACAGGGATTCATGAATGAATATTCATGAATGGAAGGGGATTTTCGGCCATATTAGA